GAGACTGGACGACAGCACAGAAACAAAGAACTGATGACGGAGAGTTAACGAAACCCGTTTCAACCAAAACATATGTTCAACAAACGATACTCTGTAATATAACAGAGACAAAGACGTGTTGAGACGCTGTCTTACTGTAGTTCCTCCAGATGAACACAGTTGTTTAAGGCCTGGAGCAGCCTGTCACCTGATTGGTCACAAATAAGGTTCTGCGAGAGCCTGAAAGAGGAACAAGAACAATCAAGTCAAAGAGAAATAAAATAAAATAAAATTGACGTGAGAGTCCAGTTAATTCTTTTAGCATCGCAGCTCCTTCACCTCTACAGCAGGGGGGTGTCAAAATCATTTTGGTTTTAGGGGTGGGCTGGACGCGTACAGTCATAAAAGTACATTATATAAATCTTCATATTTAGTGAAATATAATTCTACAAAACATTTCCTGAACAGGAAGTGTTTGTGTATTATTTCGTTTTCAAAAATTCATCAAGCGGGCCAGATTGAAACACCAAGCGGGCCGGTTTTGGCCGACGAGCCGTATGTTTGGCACCCCTGTTCTACAACCACCTGACAACCTCCATGTCCTACTGACACTCTGCGGTCAGCACCAACGGACGGCTCCAATGACAGGCCCTGAAGTGAGGCATGGGTGCTAATCCCGCCCAGACACTCTTCCTCACTGACCTTTTGTGCTTGTCACTCTAAATCTGGGAGAGGAAGAACCTGTTGCATTATGGGAACAGGTGGTGACTGTGGAGGATGTTTGGCCTCCGCCCAATAAAAATAGTCTGTGTGCTTTGAATGACTTTCATTAGACACCAACAGAGGATCAAGCAGAGGGCAAGAAGGTGATTTATGGAACCAACTAAACGCTGCTCTAAATGACCAACAGTCATCGTCAATGTCAAATAAAATATTTTTAAAAATCAGCCATCATTAGAGGGATCATGTCATATGATTATTTGTATGTCAATAATTTTAGATTAAAACCATGAAACAGGGTGGACGATGTGGACAGCGCGCTTAAAGCATAACAGAGATTCCTAACGCGGGGGGAAAACCCCTAATAGGGCAGACAGGTCCGGTGGTTGTGGTGGGTGGTGGTGGGTAAGGCATGTGAACCTAATTTCCTGTTTGTGACACAGTCGGAAATTTGCACTCATTTGTGATGTCCTGTCCTTTGTTCAGTTGCATTTTCATAGGATTTAGTTTCAGATTATGCTCATGAAGCAGCTTATGTTACTGCTGTTGGTTCTCAGTGTTACCTATTCTGTTTGAAACAACAGTTCTGAATGTGTTGATGTGATGTGTTTGGATAACAGTTGTATCTAACAGTGAAGGAATTAGGCTGTTCTCATTAAATTGACCCTAGGTGTAAACGTCAGTGTGAATAGTTGTGAATAGTTAAATGAATAAAAAATAAAACCACAAGGTCAGATGGGCTGAAATAGTAACAGCATAATCCACCAGAGGGCGTTTTAATTAGCTTTACTTTATTCCTGATCATGTAATTAGAATCAAATGTTTAGTTTGTAGAAAAGTTTGAAATTAATGTGTGTTCCACAGTGTAGTGGCTACCACACACCTGCCTAGGAAGCAGAGAGGACTGGGTTCAATTCCCAGAGGAACCACATGCCTTATTGGTGGTCCTCCTCTTGGATATAAGCGACTTCTAAAGGCATAAATGTAACAACCTTTATCAAAAGGATGGAGTTCTAAAGAACGGACGAATGAAACCGACGGTCACTGAATATCTACTAATGTGTTCTGACTTATTTTTAGTCCTTGTTGGTGGGGCAGAGGGGGGGGGGGTAGTAAACTACTAACCACAGTAATGAATGTGACCTAATCCCAGACAACATTGCTGTCAGCACTTTAAAGTCAATTTCCTTCCTACCTGATTTTCCTGAGCCGCCCCCAGTGGGGGAGGAGCCTGTTCAGCTGCTCCACACCTCCGTCTGACATCCTCCAGCTGTTCAACCTAACGACCGACGACGACCACGTACCGTATTACACACAACAGCAGCTCAAACAGAATACAAACACGTACCAAAGTACAACGGAGTAAAACACTCACTCTAACTCCTCCACATGAGTCAGATCTTCCATAGATGTAAGAAGATCCAACACAGTCTGGATGTCAGATGTTCCCACCGATGTAACGATCTCGTTCAGCCTGTCAAACACACACACACACACACACATATTAGCACATGATCCAATATGGAAGGTGCAGATGAATTCTAAACATGCAGCCTGGGCTTCATGTCAAAACTCTGAATCACCAGGACATGTGATTAGGATTTCAAACAACCTCCGTGTGCTGTGAAAACAGCGTTAACATTTTGTCTTCTGTGCGTCCTGTTACTTCGGTGACCAACAATTTAACAGCTTAGCAGACCACGGTCAGGAAATGTCTGCGTTTTTTGCTGCGGAGGAGCGAGGGGGCAGACAGAAGGGAGGGGGGAGCGAGGTGGTATCAGATCATATGAATTTTATCCGATGGAGCTAATGACCCTCTGGTATGATAAGCAGCAATGTGAAGAGTGAGTCGGTGGATCTGTGAGTAAATGCTAATCGTAAAATAGATCTCATGATTACAGCTGGGAGACATGTGCTAAAATAAACAAGTGTCAGCACTTATATGATTGAGTGTTGATGCAGTAACTGAGCAGGGCGACAACACACGGGCAATAAATACCTAGAACCGGATATTTACCAAGATATTTAAAAATTTAAAAAAAAATCTGATATACGAATATCCTTTGTCCAATAAAATACAATTTTTTAAAGACTTTTTTTTTTAGTTTTCTCTCATTTTAGTTTAACCTATTTAGAAGGAGTCACTAGAAGTGTATGGTGGTGAGCTGATCTTCAGTGATGGGGCCCTCTGTTTGTATTATCTATTTTCCCTCTAGAAAAAGTATGAATTAAAAACATACCATACACGTATTATATGTTTATTTAAATAACACACGGGCAATAAATACCTAGAACCAGATTGATGTTTATTTAAACTGGCCTTCAAATAAATTAAATATTTTATAAAATATATTTTCAGTGACTACTTCCTTTTCTGATATTTTTATTATTATACATCTATAAAATGTGTAGAATATTCACAACTAATTTGTGAATTTTTATTGTTATTTATTTTTTCAGGCGGTTACTGCAGACTTTGTCCATTACCTAAGACTTCGAACGCAGCTGAAACTCCTCAGTACATGTGACAGACACATCAGTCCGTCTTCGTCCAGCTGCACAGAGTCCAGACTGTAGGCGTACGGTGGAAAAAGTAGACGGAGAAAAACAGAAATACCATTAAAAAACAAAACACACTTTATTTTTGAACAGACTGTTGGATTTCTCTCTTTTACCAAAGTTCTTCCAGACTAACACAGTCTGTCAGGGCTGAGAGCAGCTGCAGACCTCCAGCTGCAGACCACGAACAGTGAGATAGACTGGACGAGAAGAAGAAGAAGAAGAAGAAGAGGAGGAAGAAGAAGAAATTAAATGTTTATATCAGCACAGGTTTGTACAACGCATCAGATGATCAAAGATGTTTTTTGGAGTTGACGTTATTATCACTCACTTGAGTGAACGTAAACGTGGCAACACAGCGGTTAGTTTCTGAGCTGCAGCATCGCCAATCACATGACCTGAGAGACTGCGGAGCAGAGAAGAAAAAAATATTATACAAAAAAAAATATATAAAAAAATACAAGAAGGAGAAGACAAGGGGAGGTAGTAATACTTTAAACTTGATGTTGTTTTGTTTTCCTATTCTGAAGTTTGTTAAAATAAATTCTATCAAAACATAATTCTTGCCTTGATTAAAAATATTAACATTTTTAGGAGAAAAGCTCAACTTAATAGAAGCCAAATAACTCTGTATGGTTTTTATTATACAGTGCAATGATATTATACAGACGTAATAAACTGTATTTTAAGGAATAAATTGTAATATAAGCCCAGAGTTCATTCTCAACGATGAATCAATCACAGACTGATGAAAACTAAAACAGGCTAAAGCTGATTGAACTGGAATCTTAGGAAATAGAATAAAATGCATGATTTCCTTAAACAGGATTCAACATATATGTGTGTATGTGTCTGTGTCAGATGTGTGTGTGTGTGTGTTCTGCTCACTTCAAGTGCTGGAGAGTCAGCGACCGCAGCAGAGTCTCAGGGAGCGCCTCCACCACAGCAGAGGAGTGCTTGTTGGAAACAATGCTGTTAAAGAGCAGAGCAGAGGCTTCACATGCCACAGGTCCTTAACACACAGTAAAGTTTAAATGTAGTATTTGACCAGAAGCACAAACCTGACAGAGGTGAGTTGTGGGAACAGAGACAGAAGACACGGAACTCCTTCTGTTCCCACGGTGTTGTTGGAGAATCTGTTCAGAAAAACAAGACCTGTCAATGTCTTTCTGTATGAAGGTGACGGAACCAGTGTTGAATTAAGATAGTTAAAATATAGATGTGGGATTACAGTGTGTATTTCTCATTGTTGTTCAGTGCCGTTTAGGTAAAAAAAATATTTCTCATTGTTGTTCAGTGCCGTTTGTTGCTTGTTTTACTGTTTAGGTAAAAAAACATTATCTGAATTACACCCTGTTCATGTGAGAAAAAAAGTTTGTTATTAGTATAAATTAAAAAAAAAACTCTTTTCTAACTTTGTTTGTACAGAGGTAACAGTGCTTCTAAGAAAGCCCACTGACACCTGCTGCTGCCCCCCCCCCAGCTCTGAGGGGCTTTAAAGTTAAGATAGAAGGTCCTCACTCCAAAGCAGTCAGTGAAAGGCATCTCTGGAGGACGGCGATCAGAGGAGACAGATGGTGTTGCTCAAGAGCACAGTCCACAAGGCTGTAGAACAGACAGGGCTTGAGTGAGAACAGATGTCCAGTGTTGTTTGACTTATTATTATTATTATTAAAACTTTACATTTGTTACCTGAATGAAGTCAGTCCCGAAGGTTTCATCAGACACAGCTCCAGTACAGACTGGTTCACCCTTTAAAAATAAATAAATCAGAATTTCATTGTAGTCTCCTCATATTAATATATAGTTTCTGTGTGTTTTCATCCATTCCTGTGTATATCTGTTGTTGGTTGTGTTTATCTGGGTATCTCACCTGATCTTCTGGATGTTGCTGCTGAGCTCCAGACAGCGACACAGCAGACTGACGGCTTCACCAGCTCTCATCCAACTCTCCTGAATACTGACGGAGAAAAACAAGGTAGGTTAAAGTTTGGACTTTCCTACAGTATGACCCAGTTCTGTCACCTGTTAGAGACACAACAAAAACAACACCAACACCAACTGTCAGGCCTGTCTATCTACCAGTCCACGGTGACGTTTCCTGTGGGCAGACAGAATTATTTTAAAATATCCTTGTGGGCATATAAAAGCCTGAACATTCTTACCTCGGCCTACTTCATGACCTGCTTCAGGTTGAAGGGCGTAAAAAATTAATAAATTAATAAAATGAGCTGCAATGCTGCCATCTAGTGGCTTTCAACAACATGCAGCCGTTTTTTCCCCCAAAACTATTTTGAGGGCACACGTCATTTGGCAAAACCCAGGCAATGTGAGGGCGGGATTTCATTATTGGAAAAAGAAAAAAAAAAAAAACGAAAACAATTTTTTTTTGACATAATTATGCTAATATCGGTTGGCCGATATTATCGGACATCCCTAACCTCACGTCATTGTGACACGTCTTTACCAGCTGTTTTGTGAAGGTGTTTGGTGGACTTTGAGTTCAGAACTCACCTGACGCGACATCCTCTCGGACCAACAGTCAACTCTTCCATGAGGTCTTCGATCCACTCTGGCTGCAGTGAATTGTTTTTTAATCTGAAATTCACATCAATAAATGACAGTGAATCTACAGTAACATTCCCGAAGTGAATGAAGTGAATGTGCACAGTTCTTACTCAAGTGTTGTCAGTGAGGGACAGTGGGACACGATCTCTGACAATCTGGTCAGATGTTCGCTTCTCAAACTGCTTTCCTTAATGCTGATGGGAGAGAACATGAGCACATGGACATTTGGAAGTTTGTTTGACGTTCATTTTCAGAATATGACACTAAATATTAATTATCTGTAGAGTCTGGTCTCACCTCAGAGTCTTCTCACAAACATTCTGTTGACAGAACAAGAGGAGACACCTGGCCTCCTCTTCAATACTACAAGGAGGAGACACACGGAGACAGAGGTAAATCGACACGTCATCTGCATAGAGATTTCTCTCGACTCTTAAACTGACTCACCTGATTTCCACACTGGAGATGTTTTCGTAGGTGCACATTGTTTGTACCACGTCCAACAGTCCCTGCTGGGTCAGCCTGTTGTTGCTCAGACTGACCACATGGAGGTGATAAATAAGAATAAAAATAAGAAGCAATTATTGTGAGAATATTTTGTTAAGAAACAGAAAAGTGTCAGCTCTTTCATCTCACTTGACGAAGCAGCTGATGTTGAGCCTCGGCAGTGAATCCATGACACACTTTACTTCTTCGTCCCCAAGTTGATTATTTGACAAACTGGTGAAAAGAAACAGAGTTGGTCGTTATCGTGATCGATGTAAACTGTTCAGTAAGAAAGTACTGTGTAAACGCTGTACTGCACATACTCCAAATAAGAGAGCTGCGGACCCTGCTGCAGGATCTCAGTCAGTTCCTTCACGTTGTCTTCGTTCAGGTGAAACTGAGTAAAACTGTCACAGGCAGAAAGAAAGATGCGGTGTGAGAGATTTGACGTAACACACGGAAGACAAAGACATTTACAACAGTTTACAAATTTATAGAAAACAGACAGAAAATGAAAACATTTTATGTCTCAACATTACACTACTTTAAGGATTCAATACGTATTTTCCCAGAACTACCTTTTCACACAAATATTTGAGGTTGAACACTGTGAAAAGAGCAGACAGTGGAGCCTAAAAGACTCCAGGAAGTTTGTAACTGTTGGTGAGTGGAGGAACAATAGGCCATTCATGGTTACTGTTGTTGTATGTCCAAATATAGAAGTGAAATCACTTCTTATCTTATCAAGATGTGTTGTAAGGAAAAGGTGTAAACCAAATCTAATCTCCTTTTTTGAAAAAAAAAAAAATATATATTAAAGCTACCGTCAGTTATTGTTTGTAGTTTTTAAAATGAAAACTCTTCCTGTAAATTCCAGTAATAACATGACCTGAATCAGCAGATAATCACTGGTTGGACGGCCAACAATAGTGCTAACTGTTTTCAGTATAAAACTGAAACAAATATACTTGTCTATTCACTACACACACAGTAAATGATCTTGGCAAGAGAAAATGTAGGTGTGCTGCCGTGACACGTCACACTGAGAGACAGGAAGTCAAAAGAACGAGAGGGGACAAATGACTAACCAAGAAAACATTTTTACTCCACAAACCTGCAGCTGGTTTGTTCTGCCTTCACTGGTTTCAAGATGATGGAGCATTCACCTCCAGGCCTGAAGAAGTATTCCAAAAATAAGAAATCAATGGACTACTTCTTTTTTTTCTCAGTATTCATCAGATCAGGAGAAGAACGGTCACTGAATTCATATTATACCTGAGCTCCACAGATGAGATGCGATGACAGATCTTTAAACAGCTGACAAAGGTCAGGGCCTCAGACGGTGATGAGACGCTGTTGCTGATACTGCACAGAAAATGGTCGATTTTTATTAAATAAAAACAGAACATTTTTGATAGAAATCAAAGAGGTTTTTTAGGATAAAATGTTTCCTGAGCTACAGATTTATTGATGTCTAATTTACTTTTGTAGGTTAAAAAAACAGATAAGACTTGTTGATAAAATCCATCATTATTTATCAATAATCTGCAATAAAGTATCATATAAGTTGTTTAAAAGTTAATTTAAATTAAAAAATAATCCGTGTTGAAAATGAAGTTTTACAATTTAAGAGAAATGCACAGTATTGAAGGGAGGAAAATTGAAAGTAAAAAAAAAGAAAGAAAGGAAAGAAATGAATGGCTGATTAACTGAGTAAACAGTGAAAATAGAAACCAGGGGTGTCAAATTCATTTTGGTTCATGGCCCACATACAGCCTGATTAGATATGAAGTGGGCTGGACCAGTACAACCATAACATAATGACCTATAAATAACAACAACAATTCCATGTTTTTCCCCGTTGTTTTCATGCAAATGTACAAATATATTAGAAAAAAAAGGATATCTAATGAAATATTTGACAAAACATCACTACCATGCAGTGTTGGTGCATTTTTTTCACTTTTAACATTCACAGAGCGGGCCGTACTAAACCCCCGGGCGGGCCAGTTTTGGGCCACGGGCCGTGTGTTTGACACTCCTGGTATAAACAAATACAACAGTGTGTCTTACTCGATCCTCTGCAGCGACGTCATCTTAGGAATCATCCGGAGGAGACTCTTGACGGCTGCATCCTTCAACGAACAGCGAGACAAACTGACGGCACAGAGAAAAGGACACGAGTGTCCACGTGTGAAGCACTTCTTGAAATATTACAAGATCAAATACAACTGATATTTAAAACACAGCGACACTCACTGCAGCTCCAGTTCAGACCTGCAGGAGGCCAACTTCCTGCAGAGTGTGGTTACATCAGAGGGGCGGAGGCTGCTGTGGGTTATCCTGCAACCACAACCATAAGCTTTGATGTCATGGGTCTAACCAGGGGCGCTGTCAATCAATCGCATAAAAGACTTTAACCTTCCTCCAGAATTTGGAGATGGAGGGGTTCCCATAATGCTTTGCAGCATGCATGTTACAGCACGAGTGATTTTGCTGGTTTCCTCTGTGGTGTCATTTTTTTATTTCTAGAAATATCTACTCATCTTATTATGTCCATATATTGCTTCATCATTTTGTAACAACAGATTTTTCTCACAGAGGACAGAGTAAAGTTAGCATCAATATTACCGTATACCACTAAACTGGGGAAAAGACCTCAGTGTTCTGACAGAAAAATAAGGATAATGTTAATGGAACAACTCTGGATTTGTAAAATGTTGACTGACACACACACACACACACACACACACACACAACATTTTGCCGTCGTTTCACCTGAACAGCTTGAGTTTCTGTTTGTCATCACTGAAAGTAAAACAAAACTCCAGAGTTAGCTTCGAGTCAGAGAAATACCAACAGGCTGTTTATTTATTCAACGTGCGGTTTTTCTACCTTCTGTCGGAGCGGAACTTCATCATCACCTGCTTCCCGCCTTCATCACTGTAACATCAACAGTCACAGTTAAAGTTTCTGTTTCTGTTGCACACTGACCACACCCACACCGACAGACGACCACCGCTCCGACCTCATCCATCTACCTGATGTCAACTTCACTCAAACTGACGTACGAGCTCAGAGTTTGGGCCAACGCTGCCACGCCCTCCATGTCAATCCCATTGTTACTGACACTGAAAAACAAACACACAACAGCACAAGGCCACAGGCCAAACAAGGGAAACGGGTTCAGACACATGATCATAACATAATCACACAAAAGCAGGTGAGTGAGCCAATGAGGTGAGTCTTACTTGATTTCTTGGATGTTGCTGAGACGAGGCAGAACATCCAGCAACATCTGCAGACCTCTGTTTCTCAAACAGTTGCTGGACAAACTGACAATAGAGACAACAGTTGAGCTGGTCATGAAACATCAACATGACATCATCCAACATCCTCTCACATTAAACACAGATGCAAATAGTGTGAGATAAAAGTAGCTGACAGTGACAGTGAATGTAAAGGGAACCCTGGTCTGTCTCTGGTGCAGATACAGATCCACGTGTCTTTTTGTAAGTCTTACTCCAACTCGGTGACATCACAGGATTTCCCCAGACTCTTCCACAGCCGCTCCAGGTGTGTGTGCTGCAACCCACAGCCACTGAGACTGACAGACGTACCAACAAAGTCATCATCATCAGAATCAGAACTAGAATCAGCTTTACTGGGCAAGTTTATTGATTGCCATCAATAGACAAGCATTTAAATAAAATATAAATACATAAATATATAATATTATTTATAATAAAATATACCTATAATATAAAAAAATAGCATTGTATTTATAATAAAATATACCTATAATATGAAAACTTTCACATAAACCTTTATCACTTCTTTTTGAGACACTAACAATTACTGTCATAAAAAAGGCTCCAAAGGTCAATGCAATTGAAATAGTTAAAAACAGGTTCCAGTACTTGGTGAGATATTCAAACCGTACCAGAGTGTTCTGGTCTCTGCAGGTTTCCTGCTTCCTCCAGGGAACACGACAGTCACCTGGGCAGGGTCTAGACCAGACTTCAGTCTTTGAAACATAAACACAACAAAGGAAGTGAAAACAAACAACAACAGTGTGTTAGGGTGTGAACTGTTATCTGATATCTGTGACTGGGTGTTGTACCTGATATGAAGCTCCTTCACTGCTGGACATTTGGACAGCAGAGTGGTCAGAACTATGAGGCCGTCCACGGAGGGACAGCTGTCATTCAGCCTGAGGGGAAAAAAAAACCCAGAAGAACTTTTTTGACTTTTCTGTATGAACCAATGTTGAAAAAATAAAACTTGATCAGTTCCTATTCAGTCACAGTTTGGGGCGTGATCTTGTTGTCGCTCACATGATCTTGTTGCTGACGCTGAACTTTGGCAGAAACCGTGTCAGCGTCTCCAGGATTTCCACAGTCCAGGAGCCACCAGACAAACTGAGACGGAACAAACAGTAACAAACATAAGATATAGAATAAATCAAAGAGTTTTAAAAGTAAAATGTTTCCTTTAACTGTGTAGTATGTAGGTGTGTGTAGCTGTACTCACTCCAGGACGGATAAGGTGGAGCAACGCACCAATGACTGGGCAATGTTTTGCATCTCAGTCTTGCTCCATTTTTGGTTTAATAAGCTGGAGGAAAACATGTTGAAGATAAAAAAAAAGATATAAATATGACTGGTGAAGAAAATGAAGCGCTTTTCTTCATGATAATTTATATTTTTGTACTGATCCTTTCAGGATTTAGCCCAGGAGAGGACCCCACATTTAAACCCAAAATTTTCACTTTTTCATTGTCTTAGTCCAGAACAAATAAAAGTGGCCTTTAATCATAGCAGGTCTCACTAGAGTCTGAATAAAACCTTCAGTCCCTCTGGCACAAATTGGTAACATTTATGATTTACCATGAATAAAGGAGCAAAGTTCCTGAAGGAACCTGGTTCGACACCTTCATGACATTTTGGTAAGTCATTAACAAGATAAAAAAGTTGTTTCATTTTCTCACCTGACCGTTGGTTCAGTGTTCTGATGGCTGTGCAAAGAAAAACAAAAACAAAAGAGAGAAAAATAATGATTTGATTGAAAATGTTATTGTGTGATAGTTTTTTTTTTGTTTGGTTTGTTTTGACCATGGAAACTCACCTGTCATTATTTGACTTTGGGCAGAATCTTACTGTCAATTCTTTGACTGCACTGTAAACAAAAAAAAAATGTTAGTGGTTCTGAAAATGGAGGATGCTCCCCCCCAAGGGCCAGGAAGCCATTGGAAGGAACAATATAAAAATGTCTTTATTTTTTACCAGTAGAAAGAAACGACTTAATTCCTGATTTGTAAATTAAATGTCTAGAAATCACTTTTGGCTTCACTCCCTTCACTACAGGGGTGGTCTGAAAAGTGTAGGTCTAGCTGGTATTGAACCTGCAGCCTTATTGGACATTTGAGGCAATGGCTCGACATTAGCCTGTCTACAACAACAACAAAAACATGTTTGGTAACCATCGTCATCTGTGTACGTGTGTGAGCGTACTCTGCGTGAATATCCTGGACGTTCGAGCACGAGGACATTTTCCCAATGAGGAAGTTCAGCGTTTTCAAGGAGCTGTTGTTCCGACTCAACCTGACAGAAAAAAACCCACAAAGATCAAAGATCACATCAGAGCCAGAGATAAGATCAAACTCAGGTCCAGATCTTGTGAAATGATCTGAAGTTGCTCATGAAATTTACACCAAGAGGCTTTGAATTTAGAGAGAGTGAATCAGAGAGAACAGCGAGTCCTGCAGGATTTACACAAACTCCTCACTTTACAGACATCAGTCCCGGTAGTTTGTCAAAGACGTCAGCGATGACTCTGATCCCGTCGTCCCTCAGACTGTTGTCGCTCACACTTTGAGAGGAGAAAAAAACAGCGTCAGATTTTAGAAAGGGCAACCGAACAACTTTTGCCCAGCAGAGACAGAGGACACACTTGACGTCGGTGATGTGAAGACACTTCTCCAAAGCAGAAGCCAAACTGGCCGCTCCTGCGGAGGTCAGACTGGCTCCACAAAAGCTTTGGGGAAAAGGAGCAGTGAAAACACAGTTAAAAACCTCACTTTTATAGAGTTTTATAAAGAGTACACAGTAGTGAAGAAGTAGCCGTTTGTGTGTGAAGTAGAACCACAAACGACCAAATTCATTCTTACTCAAGTTTTCTCAGGGCAGGGAGATTAGGCAGTATGGAGGACAACTTCTCGGCAAACCTGTCGTCATATCTGCGACTCCTGAAGCTGAAGGCACAAAAAGAATGAAAAAAAAAATCGTTGTAACATCAGGTGAAAAGAACTCATGTTTTAAAGCCAGTCCTTAACCAAAATCACCAATTTTTTTAGTTAAAATGTTTTACAATATCATGGGAAATTAAGCCACGCAGTAGAAATTCCTAACCATAATCCATCACTGATGCAGAGATTAGCTGTGAGTATTATGACTCTAGTCTAGCCATAAACTTCATCTGCTGATGAAGGATTTGAGTTCCTCACTTTGTTACTGATCTGCATGGATTCTGACTCAGTGACTGTTTGTACAAATAGACGTCATGTGATGGTTATCAACCGTCACCACCTTTGTTGTGCTGTTCTCACCGACTGGTGTCATGTGAAGAGTTGGTCATTTGCATGTCATTTCCTTATTGTATAAAAAAACCAAAGCACAAGAGCTGGTGTTTGTTTCAGAGATCGTAACAAATGGGTGTGGTCTTCATTTGACAAAAATGCCCGGTACGTTGTATGTTTGAACTTTTCCGATGGTCTCCTGGTGGTCCATGAGATCAAACATACACATCCCGTCAGTTCAACACACTGGGGAACAGGTGGCCAATCAGCTGTTAGGTGTCAAAGGTCGTTTCTCTCTGTGCAACCGATCCTCCACGTTTCCAGATTCTCTAACAACTAAAGTACTTAGAACTGATGGAACAGTACGTATGTGTGCAGTTCTATAAAAATGGACGCCATTTTAGAATTGACGAGTATGATGTCTTTACCGTTACAGTTTTGGAAACTAGGCATTTGTATTGTTCCTAAAGAACTGTACCAACTGTCACAATGTTAAAATTCATTGTCAAAACAAGAGCATTTCAACTTATAAAACCTCTGACGCTCTGTAGCGGAGTCAACGTACCTCAGGTGCTGCAGGTACCGACACCTCTGCAGTAAATCCAAACACTCCAGCTCCATGGAGCACGATCCGAAATCCAACCCTACGCCTTTCTCTCCCACAGAGTTCACTGCAAAAGCCAGAGCGTTGATGTCTTTGGGAGACAGACGGATGTTACGCAGCTCCACGCTGGACCTGGTACCAAGAACTGTGCTGGCCAGTTTCTGGTCCTGGCTCTCTTGGATACAGTGGCAGAGGTCCAGTATCTGTGGGTGTGCAGCAGGACAGGATCAGAGGACACAACGGGAGAACTGTAAAAAGAAAAGTTCCGACTTTTGTTGATTCTACCTTGGGTCCAGTCAAAGTGTTGTTGCTGCAAAGGTTTTTCAGTAGTTTCAGAACAAGTGCTTGTCGTTGTAGGACCCAGTTTTGGACTCCTGCTCGACCAGAACCTTGGGCTAGGTCCACTAAGGCCGCGGTGCAGTCTTTTGATGCCAGGCCGCATAAAAACAGGTGCAGGGAGTCAGTGAAGACCGTCCTCTGGTCCGACCTGGTCGTCCAGCGGGTTTTCAGACCCACTCTGATGGAAAACACAAACCAAATCCTGTGTTTGTGTTGTGAATCAGACGGTAACTGTGTAAACTGTGAATTTATTTTGAATTTTTTATCATTGCTGTCTCTGTTTCACACACATTTTAACAGACGTCAACAAATGCATATTCTGTTTATTGGTGCAAAATTGCTCAACAGGAATTCTCTACAGCAGGGGGCCCCAACCCCCGGTCAGGGGACTGGTGATGGACCCTAGTTCCTTTGGAAATGGTCCAAAGTGGGACACAGTGAAAATATGTACTTGAGTTTTACTAATTTATTTGTCATATCCCTTTACTGTTTTCATTCAAAGATAATCGATGTCAATGTTTCAGAACAGCAGGTCAAAGGTCATTCAGACTCTGATACTAACAGAAGAAAGTCTGAAAGAGGTTTTATTTTGAAAATGTAATGATGCTTCAACGACGATTGATGATTGGCTGATACTGGCCGACTGATCCTTGGTACAAAAAAAGGTTGGGGAGTGCTGCTCTACAGAACAGTTTAAAAGGGGGGTGGGGCAAATACTTAAGACTAAAACAAGTGACGAAAAGGGACGAAAAGGAAAAGTGACGAGTTGAATTACGTTTTATTAATTTACGTTATTAAAAACCAAAATGAAATAAAATAAAAAGATAAAAAGTGCCAAATTCAGAGCTATTCTGATAAAAACAAACATCAGTTGTGTTTTATGTGAGCTGTGTCTCTGGACTTCAGTCACACTGTGGTAAAGGTTACATATAAAACAAATAAAAAAAATTGGGGCATGAAATAGGACCTGCACCATGATTCATTTGAACTAAAGCAAAGCATAAGCATGAATAAGGTGGGAGCAGGAGCAGCAGCAGCAGCAGCAGCAGCATCAGAATAGCATTAGCTCCAAGTGAAAACTGGTATTTATACTGTAGGATGGGAGTGACAGAAGAGTGACAGACGACACCTTTCATGCTGCGTCACATCCCAGGGTCACTTTCACTGACACCCCATCCCATCTGCCCCCTGAACCTCACTGCTATGTTTGAACCTCCTTTTATGGGGAGTGGGGGGGCGGGGAGGGGGCGTCACCCATGTCACACGCAGGAGTCAACTTACAGCTTGTATTGCGTTTTGGAAAAAGTTATTCCTGGCCTATACCATGAGCTGGTCAAATATGGTCAAACCTAATGTGGCTGCAGCGTCCAGGGAAATACAGGATGTTCTTTGATGTCTGAATTTTAGAGGTGACAGTTTGGCAGGAATGTGGACATCCACTCCACAGTTTTTCAATTTTCAATTAAAAATAAAAGTTTAAATTTAAACATATCAAATGTTTTTAATAGATACTTTTCTTTTGCAGTATTGTTAATGGACTAAGGAAGGGTATATAAAATATAATACTATATTATATTTATGTTAATTATATTTTATAATGACTTATATAATGACTTAAATAATTAGTTTTTAGTGGTTTTGAATTTATGTTAATTATATTTTATAATGACTAAATTGGAAATAATTAGTTTTTAGTGGTTTTGACCTCTATTTTGTCTCAAACTGTTTTTTTTTCTCCTTACCTATTCCTCAGTTCTGCATCGATGACATCACTACTGGTCATTATTCTGAGTGCGGCTAAAAATTCCTGAATTGTCAGATGAATGAAACAGTAGCCGGTGTCAACTCTCCCATTCTGGAGCCTGAGCTCCACCTTGAAGAAACAGGAAGGAACTGGTTAACTGAGAGTCGCTATTTTTGGTCATACACACAGAAACAGAAACAACCAGATACGTAGAAAATATTGCCAAAAACCTGGGAGAGAATTCCTGTCTTGACTGAAAACTCCAAAATCTTTGGATCAATATCTTCTTTCAAGAAGAGGATCTTGCTTTCTTCTAAACCCTTCCAGGCCAGTTGACTGAGTTCGGACAGTTCAGATCCACGCAGACTCAGAGCGGAGAGGCCACTGACACAACTGCACAGGAAGGAAATTGGTAAACACAAGGAGTTAGCGCTCAACCGCAACACAATATTTCTAAGTGTATTCTAACACAGTCTTCACCTTTGTGTTTTGCTCTTCTCCACGTTTGATTCTTTTTCTTTATCGCGGCTCAGAAACGCACAAATCAGAGTGAGGTAGACCTGGGTCAGGGTTGAGGGTATCAGGGTTCGTGTGCGTGGTGGTTTTGTGCTGTTAGCAGGTCTACTGACGTCACCTTCTGATTTTATTTTTACTGAACGCTTTGCTCTTCTGACTCTATTCTCTGGGTCTAATCCGGATGCTTCTCCTTCCGTCTCCCCTTCTCTGGATTGTTGTTTTGCCCTCTGGTCTCGCTCTCTCTCTAAAAGATGCTTCAGACAAATGCAGCAGATGTTGCAGAGGACTGGGACGCTGGCCATGGCGAGAAGGTGTTGATCTGACAGAAGAAGATCTGCAGCCTGTGGTCCCAGTGCTCTGCTCGCTGAGTCGCCTGTGGAGATCAAACAGACATTTCCCAGAAGGTGAACCACGAGGTTTCACACCAATGACAGAGACTACCACTATTATTATTATTATTATATATCTTAAGTTTATTATTATTATTATACGTATATCTTAAGTCTTTCTGGTCACATAAATTATTAAACTACTGTGTTCCTGACTGAATTAATGACTCACAGTGAAACAGATTCATTACAAAAGATGTGGGCAGGTCACAGTGAGTCAACCTTATCATACTAAACCGGATGTTTGATCGTCTGATTCTAACTGAATCAGGCGACTGACTGTACGTCACTCGTCTTAATAAAATACACAGCTTCCTCTCCACTAAAGTATTTCACCCCAGGACCACTGCCAACTTCTACCACCTCATTCTCAACTTCATCACAAATATTTAGTAGCGTTCCACGTTCTAAAAAGTATTTTTACAAAAAAAATAACACAGTAGCACAAATAAGTAACATTCAGAACAAAACTGAGAAAATACTGAAAAAATACAGGTTCAAAAACTAATTTTGTGTCACTGACATTCCTTTTTTTTTTCCTTCACCTTTTGCCTCAAAGAAACTGTCCACATACTCCTCGATCTCCGGACGCTCCCATTCCACCAGCTGCCCGACTTTATCCGACACGGCTTCCAAGTCCACCACGTCACGGAGGCGACAGGTTACCAACACAGTGCATCCTGGGAGAAGCTGACGGCTCAGAAGTGCTGTGATCAGGTCTGCGACAGGAAGAGAGGTTTCTGGGTCTAACTGATCCCGGTTCACTTCCTGTTTGCTGAGTTTACTGTAAAACTCATCGTATCCATCCAGAACCCAACAGCTTTGTCCTGGATTCGCCAAGAGGTAATTCACAATAGCACTCTGAACAAACAAAGACAAGAAAGAAAATAAGAATTTGAAAATAGTTACTTCACTTTCATTTTTCTCATGACATGAACAACTAAGATACAGACCTTTTCACAGTCGCCATCATCTGGAGGGAGGTAGCAGTGGAACAGCAACTCCGAGAGCGACCGAGGGCTGGACAGAAGATTGAGCTGACGGAACTCGAGCAGGACGAACAGAGAGGATGATGGGATTGGGCCCTAGACAGTTAACGACGGTGAGAATCTCTTTTTTCACTCAAATACAGAGTCAAACACTCAAGAGAAAAGCCTGTACTGTAAACCGGACATTTTACTACACATCCATCTGAAGTACAACTGTGTCGACTCACTAGACCGCAGGCCCACTGCTGCCCTAAGTGGGACATGAGAAGAGTTTTTCCTGATCCAGCCTGGCCAACGATGACGGTCACTTTTCCAGCACATTCTTGGAGGAACGTTTCCAATGTCACTCTGGACTCAAAAAATCTGAACTCCCCATCAGACTCTGAATGTGGTGAAAAAAAAAACCCCAAAAAAAATTTTTAATTATTTGACGTTTGGATTTTTCCATATTAATAATTGGATTACACAATGATAAAAAAGAAAAGTCGTGAAACCCATACATTTGTCTTTCTGTCCCAGCAATGCACAGAAATGTTGTTTTTTGGTCATATTTAGGAATGATAATTAATTTTGATTAATTGTCATTAGACATCATTTTAATTTTATAATTTTAATTACACAATAAGTTTTAAAAAAATATTGTCAGCCCCAGTCATAAGACATGGATGTTTATTTTCTTAGAATTGTATAACTTCATTGAAAAATAAAATGTTGCACAAAATGTATAAATTAATTAAATTTAAAAAGGAAGTGTCACAAACCTGGTGTTCGGCTCCCCCTGTCTACTGGTCCAGGAGTTTGATCAGGTCTTTCCCTGCCTTTGGTTCCCGTTCTAGGATTCACCCAAACACTTTCCAGGTTGATCTCCTTCACCAGTGCCTCCCTCAGCCGATCCCACCTTCTCTGCAATAAACTCCTCGTAGCAACAATGTATTGCTGCCAGTGGTCTGTACAGTGGAGATCAACATTTTACATTTGTGCAGATGAAGTTGATTTCATGAGACTGAGAAAAATGTTGAAGGTAAATCCAATTATTGCACCCTTACCCTGACAGCTTTGGTAACTTGGCAACTCTGTAATAAAAATACCACAGTAAGACACATAGCTAACATACCAAATTGACACAGAATGATAGCAATGTGGTTGCCCTTTTTGTTTTTACAGACTGTTTTATTGTTAAGTCTTAATGTTGGTGACAACAAGGTTTCATAGTGCTGTTGCAAAGATTAAGATTTTTAATCTTAGTTTTTTTTAAATTTCAGGTAACAGTTTGTGTGATGAGTTGAGCGTAATGAAGTTTTAGGTTGATGATATAATTTTTTTTTTATCTTGTCATTGCCATTATTTAAAATACATTGTTGGGCCAAGCAGTGCAACACATTCTATAGGGACAAAATGAAATGCTTTATGTCACATCAACCAAATAGGTGAAACTTTAAAACCTGAAAGGTCAACATAGTTTGTGATACTGTATCTTCCTTTAAATAATCGGTGGTTAATGAATGTGACTACAAGTGAAGTAGAGCAAACTGTGAGTTCTGTGCGGAACTCCTACCAATTTGTTGGCGTTTGTTTAGCTGCTGTGCTTCAATAGGTGAAGACAACGACTCCTTGTACGTTGCACTGGGACCAGGACTTTCATCTGTATTAGAGAAAGAAACAGTCAAAGTTTCAATGATACTAGGTAGAGGCAGACCAGTTACTTCAAAGTGCAGTACATTTTGTGTTGCTGTGTTAATTTCTTACTGCGCACAAAGCCTTACTTTCACTTTCTAAATCGTCTTGGATTAAAAAACAACAAACCACACATACACTTCTGCAACCTGACTATGTTTTTTTTGTGTGTGTAAGGTAGTGTTTGCTGATTACAAAACATGTAACAAGTGAAGATATGATGCAAAGATGGTGTGTTCTCATATCCTCACATCCTCCTCAAGGGACCAACCGCCCTAACCGGGATTTGCATCTTGCCCAGAAAGTGAACCGTGGGCTTCCACACCAATGACAGAGGCATTGTTTCTGGGCCAAAGCGCCACTGACTCTATATATTACATATATATATTATATTTTCTTATAGTAGTACTCACTGTTTGTGTTTCCGGCTGCTGACATAAGCCTAGATTCCAGGCGCATAGGGATATTCTCACAGATGAGACAAAAACTTTGTAGAAAACTGCAGCACTCCTTAGCATTTGACGATGATTGTAAATGCTTCAACATGGCTGTTATGACTTCTGCTGCTGACAAACCAGTGTTGGCCGCTAATCCGTGGTCAGTGGTCCATGCAGCCCTATTGGGCAGTATCTTGCACAATTCCATAATAACCTCTGGGGGCTGACAGCTCAGGACATGTAAGAGCTCTTCGTATTCCTGAGCCAAGACGGTTTTCACATTCTCATGCTCATTGTAGGGGTCAAACTCCTCATCCATGGTCAGACTCCATCAGCTGAAAGTCACGTCAACACCATTTTCATTAATCATTTAAAGAAAACATAACAGATGGAGTTTAAACACAATATATAGTACAAGGGCATCAAACTCATTTTCACCAGGGGCCACAGTTCCCCTTAAAAGGGCCGGTAATATCTGTAACTACTCTGTATAACATCTCAATACACGTTTCTGCAATTGATTATTATCTAATCACGTTAAAAATATCGTCAATTGCTCTGTGTAATGGAAAATGTATCAAGTTAACAAACTCAACAGCATGGACTTTATAATAAGGAATATAAACACTTTTTAAGCTTCTGCGGGCCAGAATGAGTTAGCGGGCTACATTTGGCCTGCGAGCCTTGAGTTTGACACATATGAAATCGTACATCAAACTGAAGCCCATATGGACATTCTGGTCCGGTAACAAGGTGATTTTTTAATGCTCACTACTAAGAAGATTATAAAGAACTCACGTTTATGTTTCCCAATGACTTCTGACATCTGCGAAACCAAAAGCTAGTTCCATAAAAGGAAATTAGATAACAATCATTTTATACTTTTTAGTGTAAAGTTTTTTCAACAGAAGTGTCAGGGCTACACTGCTACAATAGCAAATATAGTTAAAAAAGATTAGTTTAGCAACAAACTTGCGAGAGATGGAAATCAATGATTCGCTGTGGCAACCCCTGAAAAAAGAAACAAAGCCGAAAGAAAATAATTTAGCAACAAACTTTTCATCTCTTCTAACCGTATTTATATTCGGATATTTCGATCATATTATGATATTTTATCATTAACAAACAGGGACACCTTTACACTGATTTTATCCATGTGTTTTGCGCTCATAGTTTGCCTAAACGGTGGCTTACCTTGTCTTATTTGTGTGTGTACATCTGTGTATACATGCCGTGCAGGGAAAATTTTATGACCGCAGGACGAGGTCGTTTAAGGACAAACGGCGCAGACTGCTGTATTAAGGTGCTACTTTAACGCATCTGTAAATCCTGCAGGTCCCGATCTTTAAGCATGTAGACTTAGGATCATTCATAATATGTAGTCGTAAATATGTACTTACCAACAATGGTGGCAGTCTGCACCACGATGCAGCCAGTGTGCCATTTATAATAAAACAAAAGCAAAAGAAAGGCATGGCGGTCGGCAGCAGTAAACTTTCGGTTTCACTTTGACGAACCGACGGTTTGGCGTTTCCTGGTGACTGAACGCACCACACGGTTTCTGCCGAATCACCTAATCTTCAATTAGTTTTTTTTTTTTTTTTTAAAGAATAACGTTTTATGATTTTGTCATACGGACACAATTAATCAGACCGGTCACAGTCGCACAAACACAAATAAAACAAAAAATTCATCGCCTCGTTGCTCCCGTCCTCTGCTCCGCGGTTCCTGTTTCTCAGTTAAACAGTAAATCGTCCATCTTGGCACAAGCACGGACTGTGTTTATACTTACAGCTATGGTCAAAATACTGTTGTACTTTAAAACTTAATTTGCATAGTATTCAAATAAGATCACTGATTAGGAGAAAATTCGAAAAATATTTTAGGTGCAGCTCCGTGGAGTGGGATTTATTCAGTCCCGTCTTACCTTAAACTAAGTTTCCTGTTGGTTAGTAAAAAGGACATACATATATATATTTCATATATTTTAACTGGCTACCGATTAAAAACACAAAAATAACAAAATTACATCAAAAAATAGGTATTCAATTCCATATGATCTTTTGTATGTATTGTATGTATTTACTATTTTTTTTATTATTTACTGACTGATTTTGATATTTAATCAATTGTCTGCAGTAAGAGGTAAAGTAAAAAATAAAGATCTTGCAGTTGTATCAGTTGTCATTTCATAATGCCTCGATCACTAAGAACAACCTCATAAAATTCTGTCAATCATCAGTTTAACTAAAACCAAATCAAGTCCCTCGTGCTACAGTACTGGGGTCATTTCTTGTGTGAGTTATTTGTGCGGGGCAGTTTGTCATTCAAAATAAAATTAAATTAAAAAAACAAAAGGAGGAATAATTTGGTACATTCAGTAATTGGAACTTCCTTGTGTCCTCCTAATTTGTCTTCAGAAATCATTAATACACAACACATAAATTAAACACAATGTCAGAAACAGCATGCAGGTATATAGGTAAGGTTAAACATGCTGTTGTTAATGGTCCAAACTGGTGGGTTTCTAACTCTATTCTGGACTTCTGCAGAACACGTCCACACTGAATCTCCTGAGATTCATGAGATTGTGTGGCACACAGGTGCAGGGATGAACGCCACATGTACAGGACGCAGGACAATGGTGCTGAATACAAGGATTCAAGAAAATATATGTAGACATTTTTACATTCAAATTTCCATTTTCCTGAAAATGTAAGGAGTCAACTATGAAAATGTTGTCATTCGACCTCTTCATTATGGTCCAATTTTCTATACAACAGAAAGAACAATAACGATAAATAAGTATTAATAAATTAAATTTGCAGTTTTAGGAGCATTTCTGCCAGTAATGTCCAAAGC